GGTTAGTAACAGATCAGTAAGAAGCAGGAGTATAAGAGCATCCCAGACAGGTAGAGTGACCTGCATTTGAAAAAGTCTTCACCAGTAAAGAGTGCCTGGGTCAATAGTTCAGCAGCGATTCTCACTGTAAAACTACAAAGAATTTAGAGATTTCATTCCCTACAGATCATAATATCATTAAAAGATTCAGAAAATCCAGACAAATCCCCCCACACTAGAGACAAGGCGGAAACCAATTTTGAGTGGTCGTGATCTTCAGGCCTTTGGGAAGCCCTGCATTAAAAACAGACACAAGTCTGCAGGATGTGAATCAGTCTGTATTAGTTTACACACACATGGGCAGCCTAACATGGGCAGAGACTGTTACAACACGCTACGATGGATAAATGTAAATATGAGCAGAAACAACTAGAATGTGAAAGCACTGTCAAATACATTCAGGCAGATCAAATTGTTCCAGCTGTGGAGTGTGTAAATGTCCACAATAAGTAAGTATTGTTGTTAAGTATTAAGAAAATACGCTTTAAGTAGGGAGAAGATTCTGGGGAAAAATGTTAATATACTCCTCCCATGGGTTTGCCACAAGTCCATCTGCATGCCTCAGGATCCTGAAGGTGCACAGGTCCTGGAGAAATGGCAGATTGCAGTCTGTCCTTGGCAGTGGCTTCAGAGTACCAGATGGTGATGGAGGAGGTGAGGATGGAGGTGTAGAAGTGTAACATCAGTGTCTTTGGCAGATTGAACTCTGTCAGCTGCCACAGGAAGTGTCGTCTATTGTGTTTTTTCTTTTCTGTTTTTGCAAAGGTAGCATCAATGCTAAATGATAAATGTGCAGTTAGGAATAATACAAGCTGTAATCGAAGGTTACAGTCCTGGATCACCTTGGTTATCACATGTGGACATGAGGTTAATGTCAGGGAGGTGCCAAAGTGTATTCTGTATGCATTCCAGCAACATTGCTCCATTAAAAATATGTAAATAAATAAATAAATACTTTTTTAAAAAGGTATCAGTGCCTGCACTCAAGATCTGTCACCCATTTTGACATTCAGAGCATTAGAAAACAACAAAAACCCCAAACTGTGGAGCAGCTAAACTCCCACATCCAGCAAGAGTGAGGATAACGTTTCAATTTCATGTAGGAACTGGACTCCTCACCTACCAAGCACTTTAACAGAGGTATCAAAAGAAGAGGTGATGCAATGCAGTGGTTAACTGGTTAAATCCAGCATTAGTATGGCGTTCCAACTGTTAGAAAAGGCGTGTAACTCTAAAACCTCATCGTTCTAAACATCACTCTCCTTTTTTCTCTTCAAACCTTACCACTAAATCCAACTTTTGTAGTTTCTTTCTCGCCTCATTATTCTCTTTTCGTGCCTTCAGCGTACTCGCTTCTATTCTCCCATCCTTCCTCCAAAACCTGTTTTCTGTCTCACTATCTCCATCAGTGAGCTGACTCTTCATCTGCTTATTTCTTCAGAGCAATTGGAGCCAACCCGCTGTACTGCGACTGCCGTCTGCTGTGGCTGTCAGAGTGGGTGAAGAGCGGCTATAAGGAGCCTGGTATCGCCCGCTGCGCTGGCCCCCGCGGCATGGAGGGCAAGCTGCTGCTCACCACGCCTGCCGACAAGTTCCAGTGTGTAGGTAAGCTGGCAGTGAAAAACACGCGCACCTTACAGCAGCTTTAGTTTTATGTCTTATGAGCATCTCGTAAGACTTTGTAGCTGAATAAAATATTTTACTTGGTTTATAAAATTGCTCTTTCACCAAACTGGCTTAGCATTCAATCTAAAACTATTCACATGAAACACTAATATAATTTCTTGTCTATAGGGTGAATTGTAAAGAAAACAGAGTTAATTGGCTATTTCCATCATATATGATTTTTGCCATTGAATTTGTATAATGATCAACGCCCACATACTGTTACTTGCTTACTGATGATATTTAATGAAAGGTTTTCTTTTCTGTTTGACCTTCAGAGGGTGTTGACTGCTGTTACTCCCACACACTAACAGCTAAAGACACTATAGTGGATCGTGTCTTTGACTGTGAAGTTAAAGTATGCAGAAAATTGCTTTAATAAAAATGTGCTAAATTTTGCTGGCAAGCTGTTTGTTTTAGACTCACAGCCTTCACAAACACCAAATATTCCACAATGAGCAATAATAATTCAAAATTAAATTAGAGTTAAATTAAATTAGTAAAATCACAATTACAGTTTTAATTATTGTTGATTTCTTTAAAAAAAAGAATAATTATCGTTTTTACTAAATGTAGTAAAAAATACATGTTTTGTATCCGTATATATGTATAACAAAACGCAAACTTTTATTTCGCTTTAAGTCAAAGTCCAGAAACTCAGAATCACCAAACTAAATCCATTACCAACAGCAACCACAGGAGAAAACAACAGGTATAAATACACACAGAACACACTGAGGGATAACAAGGGGAGTGGAAACAGCTGGGCAACAACAGGTGAAACTAATTAATGATAATGAAACCGGTAAAGTAAAAGGCTCAAGGGACATGAGCCAAAATAAAATGGGAAATATAACAAGAGAGACCCTAACAAAGAAACAGGGAGACTACAACTAAAACCATAAGGAATCAAACATATCAACACGTTCTCACTCCCAAACCGTAACATTTTACGCTAGGTGACAAATCGTCAACATATTACGTTTTCGGCTACCCACCACGTTCCTAAATGACGACCTCGGAAAAATGAGGAAATATGAGAACCGTATGGACTCAATCTACACATGTTCGCTCTTTTTCTTCAAATCGCTTAGAAACACGCTATTTAACATCATTAAAGTCCTGGTTAAGATCAGGAAAAAGGTTATGGTTAGGGCTAGGGATAAGGTTAGGTTTAGGGCTGGAATACAGGGCTGGAACGTCGATTACTGCGGGAGCGTCATTGCACTGGATTTCACCCATAACCCGCCGCGTACCATAAGAACGCCGAAGGTCTCCTTTTGCGTTCCTTAGGAACGCCCCGGGACGTGACAAAACGTCGGCATGTTACGCCTCGGGAGTGAGAACAGGCTCAACATATACAAACAGATCAGTTTATAAAGGTATAAAAATGCATACAAATTAAAAAGTTGACAAATAGTCAAGTTAAAAATATCCATAATCAATATCAATTTTATTAACAAATGTTAATAAAAAGTAAAAACAAAACAAAAACAAATGCACATGACATCAAAAAATCATATTCAGATGAAAAAAATATTGACCATTTAACATTCAAAAAAGGAGTAGGAGTAAGCAAATCTATGTTTAGCTCATCATACATACGTTTATCTCCTTTGATTAGACAATCTGATAATATTATAATAATATATACACTGTAAAATATTCTAAAACAGTCTTTATACAGTCCTCTATAATTATTTACCAACACCTATCCAAAAGTATTGCTTTCATATGTCATGTATGTGCTTATCCATATTTAATGTAGAGTACAACCATATACATATATATATTACACTCTGTCCCATCCATAGGCCTTTTATAAGAGTTTTTTGTATAATATTGAAACTTAATATATTTGTGCATCTTTTCAAATCTTCCTCCAAAGACTGCTAAACACATGCTCGTCATTGTTGTCAATGTTTGACATTGATGATCCACACATGTTTTAGTGTATTAAGAGTGTATTAGCCTGTAAATTTGAGTGTGTTTTGGCTGTGTTAGCCTGCCAGTCCTTTAAAGAGATGATGCCCTGAACTATAAGACATAACAATGATAAATCACATGTTATTTTAAGAGTATATTATTGTCATAAAACAATTAACTGTACGAGCAAACTGTTTTGGTAGAAGCTGTAACTGGTCCATACTGAAGCGTGGTATTTTTACATAGTGATCCATGGTGATTGAATCACTTTTGGAGCAAGCCTCAAGTGCAGGCTTAATAAGCTTTACCTAGGCACTGATGATTATTTACAATTCTAAATAATCATCAGTGCGAAGGCAAAGGGTCCGAAAAGATTACTGGGTTTTAGAAGAGTTTGAAAAACAGGGACGTGTCTACATAGGGGGCACCGGGTGGCCATAAGGACTTTTACACTGTGGTGTTGTTACTTTTATATAAGTAGAGGATGTAAAACCATCTTCCCGCCTTTATTCAGCTATAATGCCATCAGTATTAGGGCAAAGGGGAATACACAAGAGTCTGAAAAAATGTTAAGCCAATTCTCATTGCTTAGTGTATTTGTGATAGAATTGTTTGATTTCCCATGGGGCATCCCTAACCTGTTCACATCAAAAAATCTTGAAGTCGCCCCTGGTGAAATAATCGTCTCACTGAAATTTGACAGCATACGCCATTTTTAAATCCCTTCTATGCCTTCGTTGCCCTTTTAATGTCTATTTAATCTGTTTCTAGAGGTTTTGCCTATCTCTCTTTGCAATTTTACACTCTCTTTGTTTTTAATTTAATCTCCTTTCTTGGAGTATCTAATTTGTTTGCATTTGTCTTGCCTTCACTGTTTGTTGTTTATCTTTTAGAGCAGAAACATACTAATACAAATATTAAAACAAGAATTTGTTAAGAAGGTGCATTTAATCATCATCAGCTGGTAATATCGCTCAGATGGCTTTATTTGTTAATCAACATTTGACTTTTGAATGACTTGTAAAGCAGTGGATAGAGGTTAGGGATTCAGATTTCTGCTATGTTTTTCTCTAGCCTTTTTCTGCTTATCAAAAAAACAAACAAAGCAAAACTGCTGACTTAAAGTTGTGAAATAAAAGGCAACAAAGTTACTAAGAGGAACAGCAACTGCTGTAAACAAGAGTGCGCGGAGTTAAAGTTTAATTTAAACATGGCAAAAGAGAAGAGGCCCCAACATCATCAAGCCCAGAGGTTTTAACACACTCTCCTTCTGGTGTGAACATAGTGTGAATTTCCCTTCAGTGGCTTCCTATCAGACTTTGTGTGCATTAACACTTTAAATGATGTATTTCTAAAATACTATTGCACATTAAAATTTATTGTGGCGGTTCACTCTAATTAATTATTTCTCACACCTTCTGTGAAGCCTTTTGCAAACAGGGTGGAGCTTCTCTTGTCATAGCACAGGAACCATTTTTCATTTCACTTCTTACGAGTCTTGCACATAGTAGGAAATGTCACTTCTGTAAAGAGTGCAAACAAGCAACCGTTTAATAATTTGTCACTTGTCATGCTGGCACACAGTAGGAGTATCCAAAATAATAAAGTAGATATAGCTTTTTTGTATTATATTAACAAACAGTGGTTATTGATGCGTCTGTCACAGCTGTTAGTGGATCTATTTTGAACCCAATTAGCCACTGTGTCACAGCCTCATAATCCCAACAGGGTTCACATAACACAAAGCTGTTCTGCACCTCAAGTTTTTCTGAACTTTTGCAGCGTTGCAGAATGATCACGTAGTCAGTCCAACCCAACACTGTATCTCACATATGTGTAAAACTTGCTATAAATCAGATGCAGATGCTCTGGCCTGTGTGCTCAAACCAGAGTCGTGTCAACCAACACACCAGAATACAAATGTTCCTCGGGCTTTTGCCAAAGCAGAGCAGTTTAAATAAAAAAAAAAACAGATACAACATAATATATGTTTTTCTTTAAAAAGAAATACATGTGTTTCATTCTGATTGATTCATCTAACAGCAAAATAATTCATTATAAATAAATGTATCCGTTTACTGTGCACTGGACTGTGCACCAGAAATAATTATATCTGGACATTAAAGAAAAATAAAACCATAAATGTTTTGTTTCTAAATTTAGGATTGGTCATTGCGTCTTGCCGGTGATTGATACATTTGTGTATTTGTCATGTGTGCCTCACATGTGTGTTAAAATGACTTGTATAGATTTCACAGCTGTGTATGTTTGTGTAAAATCAGGTCCGGTGGAGTCATCTGTTCAGGCCAAATGTAGTCCGTGTGTGTCTTCCCCCTGCCAGAACCAGGGCATCTGCAAAGTCCACCACACACAACAGTACACCTGTGTCTGCAAGTCTGGCTTCACGGTATGCAACTGTGTGTGTGTGTGTGTGTTGCTTGTTGCAGTTTGAGTTTGAGGTTGTATTGTTTTCTTAAGCTTTATCATCAAAATATGAGCTCTGGCAGTCCCACAGTAATATATTTACAGAGCTAGATCTGATGTTTAAAGCCACTGATCCAATATTTTATGTGTTCGTGTGTCGTCTGTGATTGTTTTGAGATCACATCTGTCTCTGATAATCCCATCCGGTTACTCAGCTTGGCCTGATCTGTTTGTCTATGCTCATCAAAAATATGCTGTCAATTCAGTTTGCATGCGTGTGGTGTTTAGGGCAAACACTGCGAGACTCCAGTCGATGCCTGCGTCAGCAATCCCTGCACCAACGGAGGAACCTGCCTGAGTGATGAGCAGACTAGAGGATTCAGGTAACAATAATTTGGTGAAAGTAGCAGAAAAAACCTCTTTATCAACCCCACCAACAGATTTGGTCTAGTGGATGGATGTGGCATCATGTTGCAGAATGAAGCCCGCCTGCTAAGATTCAAACATTAGTATGCTCAAATATATACCATGCTAATAAACGTTTGATATTAGCACGTTAATGCATTTAGCACATGGAAATATTTGAATTTGTCTAAATGTTTCGTCTTCATAGTCAAGTTTCTTCTTTTGTTCTTTTTTAAGCTGTGCATGTGCTTTTGGTTTCCATGGCACTTTTTGCGAGGTGAACGTGGACGATTGTGAGGACCACGGTTGTGAGAGTGGCGCCACCTGTGTCGACGGAGTTGGCAACTACACCTGCTTGTGCCCTCCAAACTACACGGGTACAAAAGCAGCATCTGAATATTTATTACATTTTACAAACTGTTCACCTAGAAAAATGCTGCATAGCTGATCCATCACAGTAACATATCGAGGATTCCTATTACACTTGTCTTAGGTCTGCTGTGTGAAGAAGAGGAAGGCGTTTGCTCTCCAGGTAGAAACCCCTGTCAGCATCAATCCACCTGCGTCAGCACTCCAAACGGCCCCAGGTGAAAATGCACACACACACACACGCGCGCACACACACAATTACTTCAGACTTGGCTAAGTTTGGGATCCCAGATGAGAGAGAAATTACGGACACATGCAGATAAACATATACAAATTTTTTCTAATGTTTCAATTGACTTCCCCAAATCCTACACCATTTATAATTAGTATTTATGCATATTTGTGTGTGTTTGTGTTCCAGGTGTGTATGCATCCCAGGGTGGGTGGGGCCAGACTGCGGTATTGATTATAATGAGTGTGTGGATCATCGATGTCAGAATGGAGCCCAGTGTGTTGACCATCTGGACGGCTACAGCTGTGTTTGTC